GCCGCCTTTCCACTGCACACGACAAACGACAGCCGTTGGACCGGAAGTCATTCATTTCCAATGGAGAGTCGTACAGGGGCTGCGTGTGGTGCCGACCATCTGCGAATGCGGAATTTTCGGATCCGATTTGAGCTTTGGATGCGTTCAAATATTTGAACTTGAGCGACTACACCGTATGCGACATGCCGACCGGATGTGATGTATTCTAAAGTTGTCCAATCAAATCAGTGTGCGCAAGTTGAGAATTATAATGATTTTTGTTTATCACATTTTATTTTGTTTTAAAACTTTTAAAAAATGCATGATTATTGGTGAATAATAAATTATTCATTTAAATTTTATATTTTATTATTTTTAATGTTGTCTTTATTTTCCCTCCAAAATTATTGGCGGTCATTTGTCCTATATGCATAGCTGTTTATTGTTATACATGGGAATACTAGGCTAGATGCTAATTAAGGCACGACAAGGATTTGCATACATTCAGCAAATTTGGCAAACAAAACACACCTGATAAACCGACAATCTCGCTAACTCTCTTCTAAGCCTCATTTTTCCTATTAAAGTCTCTGTATGATTCTAGAGAAGTATCATACAGAATGGGGTTTTCTGAGACCGCGAGGATAAGCTTGTCTCCCATGTTGCCATGTACGATCATAATGAAATTTCCGTGCGACTGCCACTAGGGGGCGAATTCCGACAGTCGTGTCCGAATGTCGTGTGCAGTGGAAAGGCGGCTTAAGTGTGCTTTAATTAAAAATAAAAAAAATTATTTTTGTATTTACAACAGCAAAATTATTTGTGTGAGTGACATAATGTCATCTTCTGTTGTTGTTAAAACAACAATTTTGATATTCGACAACACATATTGCACACAAAGTAGAAACTTTGCACAGTTTGCACTTACTTTTTTCTTGAAAATGTCCTCCAAACTCCACTGCAGCTTTTCTTGAAATAACAACAGGTTTTATTGGCTGGAGACACTTGAATGAACTGGCACTGTGGAAATAAATAAAACATCATTTGGAAACATACTTACCAACATAAGAGTTTCTACCGGTTTATCGCCACCAGAGTTGGGCAAGTTACTTCCAAAATGTAATACATTAAAAGTAATATACTACTGTAATATTATTACTTTTGTAATGCGTTACTCCCAACACTGATCGCCACATACTCCACATTTAATCTTCTGCAGTCTGTGCAGTGTTTAGTAATGGTAAAACAACAAAACCATCTCGGAGAGGCAACCTAACATACTTCTCAATATTGCCATCAAACTCTGAGATGTGCAAGTCTTCAGAGAGTTCCCTCACAGCAAAAATTCCCAAGTCACATGAATTCATTGGATAATCAAAAAAAGAGCTTCTATGTCTATACTCCTTGTACACCAAAAATGTCTTTCCTCCACTCAAAATAATGTTCACAACAATGGCAACACAGTTCTGTATTTTCACACAATTGTCTCCATCTGTTGTTTTGATGACTAAACCACCAAGAATGACCTCATGAAACTGATGAACTGATTTTTGAAAACATCAGTGGAACAGGGCCATCGTTGTGTTCACGTCTGAGGCTATTGATGCACTCCTGTACTGTATTGCCCTGGGCATTTATTTCTGAAAGTCGCCGAATGACTTGAGCCAAAGGATTGCAAGGTCTTCTCACAAGCTTTTTAAGAGAGCCCAAATAATTTTCAAATGGAAAAGCAGAAAATTCATCTACATTCCCATGATGCTATATAGGGCTGCACGATTCTTGCTAAAATGTGAATCACGATTTTTCTCCATGGGAATTGAGATCACGATTCTCTTACACGATTCTCATTTTTTCAACCAAAATTTATTGCACTCAAGTAAGCAGCGCACAGATCTTCTTTATGCACCAAGAGCTTGTAACACTCCAAAGAG